CGAGTTTCATGTGTGACGAATGATATGCGACCTTGACATTCAGGACTCTGTTGAAAATGTCTCTTTGAGTTAGATCTCGAGCGATGAACTCAATGGCGTCAGCTTGTCCAGATATTGTGATCGAGCGTGGGCTGTTGATGCAGGCGATTTGTGCAGACTTGTTGATCCTGGCGAGATACGCTGACGCTTCTTCAGTCGACATTCCGACCACCATCATGCCCCCCTTCAGCTTCGAAGCCCGGAACGGAATGCTCGCTGCGGCCAAACCACGAAAGTAGGCAATCTTCCACGCGTCGTATCGCGATATGGCTCCAGAGGCATAAGCAGCGGCAATTTCGCCCGAAGAATGTCCCAACACATACTGAGGCTGAACATGTAAAGACTTGAGAAGGTCAACCAGAGCGACTTGCAGAGCAGTTGTTGCGGGCTGGGAGATTTCTGGATCGGATATGCGCGTATCCTCAGCTCCTCTGAGAATCTCCTTTAAAAGGTCAAATCGAGCTCCCAGCCCCAGCTGTAAAAAGCAACTGGCCTCATTGAGACAGGCCCTATACACAGGGAAAGACATGAGGTCTTTGCCCATTGCCGCCCATTGGGCGCCCTGCCCACAGAAGATGAAGGCTAGCCTGGTTTGCTTCTTAAGTGACGAGCGTGCAAGGGAGCCTGTGTTGAAAGTTTGAATTTTTCCCAGGAGGTCCTTTGCAGATTCAGCCACAATGAATCCTTTCCATTCGAGGTTGGATCGACGGCAGCCAAGGGTATATGAGTAGTTGCGCAAGGAGTCTCCAGTATCGTTCTGAATTGATTCGAGAAAAGGGGCGTGAGACTTCATGACGCGAGAGACACCATCGTTGTCGCTTGCCGAGTAACAGAACAACCGGGCTTCGGGTATCTCCTCGGCCAAGGTTGCATTGATTCGCGATGGTACGATGTCGGTAGAAGAATGATTTGCGTCCAATCCCTTTGCCGCAAGATAGCCTGGCGCCTCGTCTACAACGACATGGGCATTTGTACCACCAAAACCGAAAGAGTTGACGCTGACACGACGAATGCCAGGGATGGGCCAGTCCATTACTTCAGTCGGGACCTAAGATAGAGTTAGTCAACATCAGGCTGATTGGCCAGGAAGATATATACCTTGACCTTCCAGTTCTCAAAATCAATCTTGGGGTTCCCTTTGATGAAGTTGATGTTTGGAGGTACACGGCCCCGTTCCAAAGCTAGGACTCCCTTGATCAAACCGGCAATTCCAGCTGCACCTTCAAGATGACCAATATTTGTCTTGACAGAGCCCACTAGAACGGGGTTGTCAACAGTGCGGGCCGATGCAATGGTCTGAGAGATGGCTTGAAGCTCTTGCCAGTCACCTGCCTGTGTTCCCGTGCCATGGCATTCAATGTAGCCGGTCTGGGCAAAATCAAGGTTTGCC